CCCACCCCGTCCTGTCCCGTCCCCTGTCCCGTCCCACCCCGTCCCGTCCCGTCCCCCGTCCCGTCCCATGATCAGAGTGGTTGTAACTATTTATAGAACATCAAACACTGAAACTAGTTCCACATGGTGACGGGGGCATTCATGTCTTACAGACATTTTTTTAGTTTAAATATAATATAAGAGGGATAAAGCCTGATGGATCTACATACAGATGTCTTGTCTTTGCTTAAGACTCATTAGAATCTTATATAAACAACTCAGTCCAACCGTTTGGAATGAAAATATTCCTGGGTTATATTATCAACCCATGCTTTCATGGTTACATTGTTAAATCATATATCCAAGGTTACAAGATCAGACACAACATCAATTTCTAGTATAAAAGAGAAATCTGTTAATTTTAGTTTATACAAATCATTGACATAAATCTGTCTATAACTCGAATTTTATAGAAAATTTCTTCATAAAATGTAAGTGGACAAGAATGGGGAGATGATAAGTGGAAGAAGGACTGTCCGGAAAGATACATGAGTCCTTTACCCTTTAACTGGATACCCAGAAGTATGCTGGGCGATTGAGCAGTAGAGTAGAGTCAGGAAATTTAGGTATAAGACAGCCTCAGGATGAGTTTCTTTATTCGGTACTAGTCAACCGGTTTCACCCTCTTAGCAGGCTTCTTCAGTCTGGCGAAATGGTTGTCTAGCAGCAAACAAATTTGAAGAAACCTACCCTTAGGCTGTTGTGATTGATGCCTTAGCCTAAATTTGAATTTCTACCCCAGTTTACCAGAGCCAACCATTTAGTTGCAGAGGTATTGGTTAACACAAGTGTATATCAACCAGTTGATTGACACTTTCTGTCACTTTGATTGGTTAAAATCCTGACTATAGACTTTTGTGGTTCAGAGATTGGCACCCTTTGACTTGGTGCCTCTCCATTACAGAGTCTGACATCTGTCTGTAATGTATTATAGTGGATGCTAAACATATTCATGCTAAAACAATAGACAGAAAATGTAGTTTACCCTGCTTCTGGTGCTGAGAATGTCATTGCAAAAATGTATGAAAATGATAATATTACACAAAGTATATGTAGATGGAATGTAGATCTCCATTTTATACAAATAAAATGAAAGACAGGTAGAGAAAAAATAAATGCAGGAGAAAAACAATAATGTAATGTACATGTCCTAATTTAGTGGTCAACGTATACTATAAATGCATTGTCTAGTCTTGGCGGTCAGTCATTGTAACTGGGTACTTACACTTACGGTGTACATGTGCTGGAACTGGACGGAATGCAGGTTATCAGAAAGATAAATTGGTTAGAGTATCAATCTTCAGTTTGGAGTCGCTGGATTCAAATTCTGATCTCACCATTACATTTTTCCTTTCTTTTTATTGCATTCATATAAATGGCCTGGGCTGAAATGATAGTATACAAGTGCAAGATACAGACTTACAGAGTTTGTAACTCACTAATAGAAATATAAGGCACATGAACATACCTTTTCGGACAGTACGTATAACTTTACAGTATCCTTGTTTCATGATTATCATATGAAGTCTGACGTGAAGTTTACCTGTAATTTGGTACGTTTTTGATAAGAAATAACATGTGACCTGTTTTAGGGTTTTGGTATGCTGTTGATGGAGGAGGCGGCAAGGATAGCCAAGGAGGAGCACGGGTCACAGAGAATAGCTGTCATATCAGGTGAGGTCAACAGCAGTATAACAGGTCGTCGAATATATAACAGTGTTGATAGAGATTTGGGTAATTCATAGTGAGAATGACTATTTGGTATAGATATTCAGTTGAATGGTGAAAGAAGATCTTATTGTTGACCCTTCATGCTGTTTGTATGTAATAATGACCTGTATGTATATAAAAGATGTGTATGTTGACACAGTGAACCATAGGGCTGCAACGATACATTAACATGGCGATACGATACGTATCACAATACTGTGGTCGTATCACTATGATCACGATACGATACGTATAACGATACTGTGGTCGTATCACTATTATCACGATACTGTGGTCGTATCACTATGATCACGATACTGTGGTCGTATCACTGTGATCACGATACGATACATATCACGATACTGTGGTCGTATCACTGTGATCACGATACTGTGGTCGTATCACTATGATCACGATACTGTGGTCGTATCACTATGATCACGATATTGTGGTCGTATCACTATGATCACGATACGATACGTATCACGATACTGTGGTCGTATCACTGTGATCACGATACGATACGTATCACGATACTGTGGTCGTATCACTATGATCACGATACGATACGTATCACGATACTGTGGTCGTATCACTATGATCACGATACGATACGTATGACGATATTGTGGTCGTATCACTATGATCATGATACGATACGTATCACGATACTGTGGTCGTATCACTATGATCACGATACGATACGTATCACGATCCTGTGGTCGTATCACTGTGATCAGGATACGATACGTATTACGATACTGTGGTCGTATCACTGTGATCAGGATACTTTGGTCGTATCACTATGATCACGATACTGTGGTCGTATCACTATGATCACGATACGATACGTATCACGATACTGTGGTCGTATCACTGTGATCAGGATACGATACGTATCACGATACTGTGGTCGTATCACTGTGATCACGATACTGTGGTCGTATCACTGTGATCACGATACGATACTATGATCACGATACGATACATATCACGATACGATACGTATCACAATACGATACGTATCACAATACTTTGTTCACGATACGATACATATCACGATACATATAGTAACAGTAGAAGCAAAGAGAAAAGATATGATGCATTGTTTTAATGGCAATAGTATAACTGAAAATATATTTGGTCCAAAATGAGCCGAGCTGGAGCTGTCACTCGCCATGTTGGAACGGATATGAGTGGACTAAATTCAGTAATGACAAACTCTGGAAATACTGTTGGCAAAACGTGTATCATACCGTATTCAAAATGTCACGTTAATATCATCACATAGTTGCAGCCCTAGTGAACCAGTATTTTGACATTAATCCTGTTTGTCGACACAGCCCTAGTGAACCTGTATATTGACATTAATCCTGTTTGTCGACACAGCCCTAGTGAACCAGAATGTTGACATTAATCCTGTTTGTCGACACAGCCCTAGTGAACGTGTATGTTGACATTATTCCTATTTGTCGACACAGCCCTAGTGAACCTGTATATTGACATTAATCCTGTTTGTCGACATAGCCCTAGTGAACCTGTATGTTGACATTATTCCTATTTGTCGTCACAGCCCTAGTGAACCTGTATGTTGACTTTAATCCTGTTTGTCGACACAGCCCTAGTGAACCAGAATGTTGACATTAATCCTGTTTGTCGACACAGCCCTAGTGATCCTGTATGTTGACATTATTCCTATTTGTCGACAAAGCCCTAGTGAACCTGTATGTTGACATTATTCCTATTTGTCGACAAAGCCCTAGTGAACCTGTATGTTGACATTATTCCTATTTGTCGACAAAGCCCTAGTGAACCTGTATGTTGACATTATTCCTGTTTGTCGACACAGCCCTAGTGAACCAGTATGTTGACATCAATCCTGTTTGTCGACACAGCCCTAGTGAGCCTGTATGTTGACATTATTCCTATTTGTCGTCACAGCCCTAGTGAACCTGTATGTTGACTTTAATCCTGTTTGTCGACACAGCCCTAGTGAACCAGTATGTTGACATTAATCCTGTTTGTCAACACAATGACACTATCTGTTGAAACAATGGCCATGTGTGTTGACACAAAAACCCAGTATGTTGCATCCCTTTTGCTTTGAAGGGACTGAATGACATGTTAATTGTAGAAAATGATGACTCGATTGCAACTGATATGTCTGTTGTCGGTGTGGATTGCAATTTGTGTGTCTGTTGTAGGTGTTGATTGTAACGTGTGTGTCTGTTGTAGGTCTGAATCATAACTTGTATGTCTGTTGTCGGTGTGGATTGCAATTTGTGTGTCTGTTGTAGGTGTGAATCATAACTTGTATGTCTGTTGTTGGTGTGGATTGTAACTTGTGTGTCTGTTGTAGGTGTGGATTGTACTTTGTGTGTCTGTTGTAGGTGTGGATTGTACTTTGTGTGTCTGTTGTAGGTGTGGATTGTACTTTGTGTGTCTGTTGTTGGTGTGGATTGTAACTTGTGTGTCTGTTGTAGGTGTGAATTGTACTTTGTATGTCTGTTGTTGGTGTGGATTGTAACTTGTGTGTCTGTTCTAGGTGTGGATTGTACTTTGTGTGTCTGTTGTAGGTGTGGATTGTAGCTTGTGTGTCTGTTGTAGGTGTGGATTGTACTTTGTATGTCTGTTGTCAGTGTGGATTGTAACTTGTGTGTCTGTGTGGTGTGGATTGTAATGTGTGTGTCTGTTGTAGGTGTGGATTGTAACTTGTATGTCTGTTGTTGGTGTGGATTTCAACTTGTATGTCTGTTGTTGGTGTGGATTGTACTTTGTGTGTCTGTTGTTGGTGTGGATTTTAACTTTGTATGTCTGTTGTAGGTGTGGGAACTCGTAACTACTACAGGAAGCTTGGATATGAACTGGAAGGGCCCTACATGACAAAGTCCCTGTGACAAAACCATGGAGAGCTGTCCCAATCGAACCACAACCCCGGACTTGGCAACTCACTACCTGTGATATCAGCCTAGATTTATGTGATCTGGATTAAAAGACATCAGGACTGATGGAGTCAACAATATATTAAGGCAGAGAGGATGTGAGAGGATGGAGTATAATGGGGTCAGAGCTAAGACATGCCAAAGCTCTGACACTCTATATCTGATGATAGAGTTTACATACCCTATACCTACCAGTACATAGTGATTGGCTCTTTATCTCTCACCTCATACCCAGGATTTTTGACACAGCATTTGCAACTCTGAACAATATTCAAATATGGTATAACAGTGGCAGATGAGTCTGCAATAGTTTCACATCAAGTTTGTGTAACACTTGTTTATTTCTGTGTGGCGACATCAGTTCCAGACTGCTAGTGTTGTTGGTGGCCGACATTCTCTGCCAGTCAAAACCACATAACATTTTAAGACGATGTCACATTTCAAAATGTCAACTAACAAGGTACTGAACATTTTGAACTTCAGTGATTTGTTTTAATTGGAATCCAAGTCAGGGTTTAAAAAATCACAGTTCCTTTGAAGTCACCAATGGTAACCATGAAACGTCTTGCATTTGTAGAGGTGGGAGAAAAAGACACTTCTTTTTCATTGAAATTCTGCCTGAAAAACTATAAGTTTGTTTCTAGGAAAGTGCAATGATTATTCTGTAATAAGCAAATAAGATGATCTGGACAATAAAAGAAGGACATTGTTATATATACAATATATATTGCTGCGTACAGCAAAGAGTACCATCCTGAAGGACATTTAAGGTGTAGCTCATGCTAATTTATGTGGTATTTTCCTGTGTTATGTACAGATGATTACAGACAACTACAGATTGCATCATTTGTATGATAATTGTTAATGTAATAAATTAATTAAAAAATACTTTTTGGATTGTTTTTGCTCTTTTTTTATCACTTTCTTTAGAAACTGTCTCGTATTTTGATGAAACTTTTTGGTAAATTCAGTCAGAGGTGGGGACCAGAATCTCTCCTCAAGAAGAGGCTGACCCCAAGAGGGGTGAAACCTTAAAACGACATCTTGTCTGACAATGGATTTATCGTTAATACCATGGCCAATTATGTAAAATGATTTTGAGATAAAGAAATCAGACTTCAGACTTAGGAACGGACTGACCAATCCAGCAGTTGTAGGTGGGACCTAGGGTCACCTAGTGCATCATCTTTCAGCCATTTAGGAAGTTGGGCATACTGATATAGTCTATGGGATATGTTATACACTCTGTAACCTGCAACTGCTGAACTTTGTATGCAATTATGTCTTGGGATTGTGGAGTGTATCTTACCTAATAGATCGGGTTCTGTGCCCAACAATTTGCAGAGTTATGTCCCTTTGTTCACCATTTATCACTTTGTCTAGGACATATCTCATTTACACCGTCATCTACAATAGGCCAGGTTTGTGTGCGAGTACCTCTTGGGATTAGCAAAGTGACAAGTACTAAAAGTTGGTCTTATGCCACAGTATATACAGAGTTATGGCCCTTTGCCATTTTCGATACTAATGGTTGTCTAGAAGTGGGGAATTATGGATTGCAGGCATTATTTTGCCTTGTTCAACCATGAAGTTGTTCACTGTAGCATATCCACAGGCGTTTGAAGTCATTTTTTATCATTTTCTCTGTCCTTGTTATGAATTGTATCAAAATTAAAAGGATAAGACATTCATCATTTCCATTTTTTATTGGTCATTCTTCTTCCCCAATCATATATAATAGATTTTTACCATTCATTACTGGCACATAACCAACATTTCTTTGGGGACAATCAGATTCACATAATCATCAATATGTACACCTCTTGTACACAAATACATATAGACTAGACTTCTACAAAATGTAATGAACTATAAATAGAACATGGAGCACTAAATTAAACTGGTCACATGACGTTATTTACTATATATAGCAAACAAAACAAGGCTGACTGATGGCATGTACTTATTCACCTAACTCTCATGATTCCCTGCTCAAAATGGAAGTTGCTTTTTAAAAAAGCAGTATTGCATGTATAATATACAAACACAAAATTTTGACCATGGCAAGACGATATGAATATTTTCGTCTAATATTTTTCAAGTAATTTGCATATTCAAATAAATGATTTGTTTATGATTAAAGCAATGTAACACAATAATTAAGATGTTTAACTAGTATTTCAACATCAAGTTTGATATACTTAAGACTATGTATTTAATTTTTGAATACTAACTGGTAATGATTTAAATATTTGAACAATGGCAATTCATTCTTATAATTTTCTGAAGCAAGTTGGACTTTTCAAAGAACATTTTTTCTCTACTTTGCTTGATCAAGATAGTTGGTATGGTACATACAGACATTTGGAAATAAAATATAGACAAAAGCTTTGTAAGGAAACAATTCCTTAACTATCATAATTAATTACAAAACAGAGGTGTACAACACTGAACACCATGGGTTAGGACCTTCGGAACACCTTGGATCAGAACCTTCAGAACACCTCAGATTATAATCTTTGGAACACCTCGGTTCTAAACCTTCAGTCTATGTCAGTCAATTCATGGAATCAACCGTTACAGATATTTTCTAAATTTGAAACATTAAAAGACAAAGAAAAACATATAAATACAAAGACTCTTAACCATTCTTCAAACAGATCCCAGTAATAAACAAATGTCAAGTAGTTAAAACCTTAAAATAAACTGAAGGTTTTTATTTAAATATTTTGCTAGCTTATGTCTCAACATCTATCACTGTAAATGTTCAACATTTATGCTGTGAGAGTCAACTAAGAACTCAAATATCATATTCAGGAACCCTGAAACATGGGAGCAAATGTGTTATGGAAATGTTGCAAATCTAAATCAGCAAAACAGTTTTAAAAAAAAAGTGTTTGCGAAAACTCTTTAAAACCAGAACACGGTATGTGATAATTGACAAATTAAATTAGAATATTGATTATGAGACATGAAGTACAAGAAATCATATTTGAAAATTGACATTTGTTTAAAAGGGGTTAAGTGATGCACACAAAGCATCTTCCACCCTCGTATGCACCAAAAAAATCTCCCGTCTTTGTTACACAAAAACCCGGTACACACCACTATGCCGTTGGCTTGGCAAATCCATGCATTTTGAAAGGTTTGAGAATTTGAGAAGAGAAAAAGAGAAGAAAAACAAGCCTCTGGCCTTTCATTTGTACATGTCTAGCATGTTGTTATTATAAAGTAGTAATAAAATATACCCAGACGATGATCATCATACAAATTATACATGTAAATAATGCAGATTTATGGTCTATTGTAATTAAGGCAGGATAACAATCCATGCCACATTTCCCATACACATTCAAATATAATATTTTGAAATTTTCTCTCATATAAAAAGTTAAAAAAAAAAAATGTAAAAATTCATGAAATGAGGTAGACGGTTTCAGCTGTGATATATAAGCTGTATTTAAGGCCAAACTGTTAAGTTATAGATATATAGATATATAATCCTTCTTTAATGCTATCAGATCGTACATGTAGACATCACTGGTATAAGTATGTCCGAACGTTTTCAACGACACAAATTTCCATACTGGTATCGCAGAATTTTCTTAATAAGGCGATGTGTCTGATTTTTCAATGTGCGAGTAGGGGAAAAAAAGGAAACCTGAAAAATATGCTATGACTAGCTCAATACTGTCTGTGAACTATACATGTTACTGCAGTACTGTAAAAATGTTCCCCAAGAACCTGTCGTGATCAGAACTTGTCGGATAATCTAAGGAGATTTTAAGTATATGGTTTGTGCATGTGCATTACAGATAGGAAACTTTACAAAAGGACAACTATATTGACAAATCTTTGCGAGACCCCACACTACTCAGTTCACCTTAAAATAAGCATTAGTTTATACCATAAATCGATATTTCCACCTAATGGTCCCTGTCAATGGAACAGGTGTTCATTTATATATTAACACACTTTCCTTTCTCAAAATGGCCAATATTATATAGTGTAGTCGAAGAAACCACCAATAATTAGGTGATCAGAGATAGGCTGAGCTACATGGACAATAAATATACACATGGTTTCTTCTACACAATGATTTGATTTTAATAAATTAATGACCACACACTGTTGACTATATTGACGTCGTCACCATGTTGTAATGATTAGCCGTTTAAGGTTTTACAAAATGATCACAAGAATTACTTTCAGTATAGATATATTCCCTTACAGATAAATCATTTCAATAAAGGTTAATTCCTTTACAGATAAATCATTTCAGTACAAGGGAATTTCTTTACAGATAAATCATTTCAGTACAAGGGAATTCCTTTACAAATAAAACATTTCAATAAAGGTTAATTCCTTTACAGATAAATCATTTCAATAAAGGTTAATTCCTTTACTTCCTTTACAGATAAATCATTTCAATAAAGGTTAATTCCTTTACAGATAAATCATTTCAATAAAGGTTAATTCCTTTACTTCCTTTACAGATAAAACATTTCAATAAAGGTTAATTCCTTTACAGATAAATCATTTCAATAAAGGTTAATTCCTTTACTTCCTTTACAGATAAATCATTTCAATAAAGGTTAATTCCTTTACAGATAAATCATTTCAATAAAGGTTAATTCCTTTACTTCCTTTACAGATAAATCATTTCAATAAAGGTTAATTCCTTTACAGATAAATCATTTCAATAAAGGTTAATTCCTTTACTTCCTTTACAGATAAATCATTTCAATATATGAAGGTTAATTCCTTTACTTCCTTTTCAGATAAATCATTTCAATAAAGGTTAATTCCTTTACAGATAAATTATTTCAATGAAGGTTAATTCCTTTACTTCCTTTACAGATAAATTATTTCAATAAAGGTTATTCCTTTACAGATACATTATTTCAATAAAGGTCAATTCCTTTACAGATAAATTATTTACTGGTAATCAATGTCATGACCAAACTGAAATGAGGGATCAGCTATACAAATATACTACAAAATAATACTTTCCTCCTGAAATTATTGCACAATATGATGTTATTGCTAATTTATATTTTCTTTTGTTTAATGGGGGAGAAGTTAAAGGGAAAAAGAAAGGAAAGAAATCAAATCTGGAAAAGTATAAAAGTGTACAACAAAATGGAATGAACATCATTACCTCTCATAATTAGGAACACAGTTGTCATGACAACAAGAATAGAGAGCTCCAATCAAGACAGGGAACAACTACAGGTATTCAAAACACAATAACAAATTTGTCAGCTGATATTTAGACAGTACCAGTATGAATGTCTTCATACATCAATATACAATAATGAAAAAAATATATTCAAATACAAAATGTTCGGTCGACATAAACATGTACAGTGCAGGAGGGGGAAATATGTGACTATCATAAATGAAAAACCCTGAATGATAAAAAAGTTATTGCAAATAATAAGATCAATGTTATTTAGTAGAAGTAAAGTATTACCGGTATGTAGATGTGTGTGTAGACGGTATAAAACAGGATATCTAGAAAAACATAAATTTGAGATTGAAAAAATGACTGTACCACAGATTGTATTATAATTATGTAATTACTGAATCTCACTTAAACTTGAAAAACGATTACTGCTGAAAATTATGTTTAACTTTATTTCATCTAACCACTGTATGTTTCAAATATAATCTATGTTCAGTGGCCATCTCATACACTCATCCTTAATATTTTAAAGTATTTTTGCTCACGAGTACAGTTAATATTTACAGTGATAAACACAATAGGACCATGCGATCCTTAAACAATATCCTAACCTTACCTCTGATTTAATTTCCTTGAATAAATAAAAAGAATTTTAAGAGTGTAAAATTTCATAATGCAAACTATAAGATGAGAGTTCACACCAGTAGCTTAAGTCAGAGTTCACACTGGTAGCAAAGGTCAGAGTTCACACTGGTAGCTAAAGTCAGAGTTCACACTGGTAGCTTATAAGGTCAGAGTTCACACTAGTAGCTTATAAGGTCAGAGTTCACACTGGTAGCTAATATAAGGTCAGAGTTCACACTGGTAGCTAATATAAGGTCAGAGTTCACATTGGTACACGTACCAATATGCTTGTACAGCAAAACATTGTTAGTACAGCACTAATTCCAAAATATGTGGTGAAATGCTTTTAGCATTTAGATTGCTAGGTAACCATTCTCTTAATTTTGTTTTATAGTTTAAAATTTACTACCATAGCACACCTTCTACCCTGTCGTAACCAATGTTTCAATAACGCATCAACTATCATACAATTCATACACACTGTCAGACATCAACTATCATATAATTCATACACACTGTCAGACATCTATCATACAATTCATACACACTGTCAGACATCTTATTCTATCATACAATTCATACATACTGTCAGACATCTATCATACAATTGCATTGATTCCCACTGTCAGACATCTTATTCTATCATACAATTCATACACATTGACAGACATCTATCATACAATTGCATTGATACACACTGTCAGATATCTTATTCTATCATACAATTCATACATACTGTCAGACATCTATCATGCAATCGCATTGATACACACTGTCAGACATCTTATTCTATCATACAATTCATACACACTGTCAGACATCTATCATGCAATTGCATTGATACACACTGTCAGACATCTTATTCTATCATACAATTCATACACACTGTCAGACATCTTATTCTATCATACAATTCATACACATTGACAGACATCTATCATACAATTCATACACACTGTCAGACATCTATCATACAATTCACAAACACTGCAAGACATTTTCTACCAATTATATTACTGCCAGATCCTCGAAACAATAAAAGGAATATAGCAGTAAATGGTACTACAGGGTATGATACGAGTATCAGAAAGCCTAGAGTTGGTTTTATACACACTGCCTACCATCAATATTCTGCTGTACATCTTTTTAAATAAACTAGAAATTAACTCAAAACTGATCAACATTAACGTTTTTAAACAATTTCATTCAACAATTTCATAAAGATTCACTTGAAATAAAATCCTTTAGCACCACCTGAAAAAAGAACTAAATGTTTAAGCAAGGCCATGCAAAAACACATGCATAGTGACACGATTGTTATCACTAAAAGGGAAAATTGGGGGAAATGTTATTCCAAACAAACACACATATATATATATATATATTGTATTTCATAAATAAAAAGGAAATAACAAAGAACAATCTTTCTTTTTAAACACCGTATTCATCAGTTTAGACCAATCACATAATGCTACTTCCGTCTGTGTTAGGGCGACTGTAAACAGACATACAGATTTTGAGGTCAGAGAAGAACTTGTCGGTTCAAAAAGGTAGAAATGTCTCATTAAATAGTCTACAAAACAAAAGAATCAAGGAAAAGTCATATAACAAATAAAATATAATATTCTACTTGGTGTGATCAGAGACACAGAGACCAACTGTTTCGGGATTGGTGAAATCTACATTTACAACAAATTTAAAAGTCTTCAATTCATCAATGATTTGTTACCATGATTTCCAAAATAAACAAAAACTTGTAATAAAGACTGGTGGAGTTTTTTTGTCAAGGATTCAACAGAAAAAAATCTAATGTATACAATAATTTCTGTCATGGTACATGAGCTAGTCTTTGTGTATATACGTGTATAAAGACACTCCACTAGCAGGCAGGCAACACCAAATCTATCTTTGTCAAATCACAGACTGATGAGGTAACAGGAAAAGTTTGAATGATTATAGAATCTTGGTCCCTTGCAGTGTAAACTGTGGGTGTGGCCTTTGACTGGTCACCCTCCATCAGTACAACTCTCCTCCCTACAACGGTAGGCAGGTCACATATACACATGTATTCCTTGTGAATGTGTACACATATGTTTTCACATATCTGCTCGATGCATGCTCTTTTTATACATGCAAGAGTCATTGGAGTTAAAGGAAACATAATGGTGCTGGACTCGGCTCACTGGTACGTATTTCCACAACAGAAAGTCACATTCTGATTCTGTGTGGCACATAGACCTCCTTACACACATTCACGAACATTGGAAATACATTGTGTGTCCACTTTGTAGAGACTAACCCCTACAACTTGACTAGCACCAGAGACAGGTAAACCTTATGTACTTAAAGCCAATGGGGTAGGACAATCTTGGTTGTCATCTGTGTTTATCCCAGGCGAGACCACAGAAGGGATAGCAGCGCGCCCAGCACCAAGGAGACAGCTTACTGTCGTCGACACACATTCGTGCCAACAGCTCAGAATACCCATGGAATGCTTAGCTCTGTTGATAAGTTCACCTTTACACACTGTGAAGCTGACATCATAATCCAAACCTCTCCTTAATGAGGTACATGAGTTTCTTTTTACCTTTATAAACAAGTTTCATATTTTCGATTAACTGTGCAAACTTTATAAGTCCATCCTGAGCCAGTAGAAATGTTTCCCGTGCCTTGCTGAGAAACTCTATGAAGTCTCCGTAGTGACGCGGACTGATATGTGTGAGTTTTGAATGTGTTGTGCTGATGTAGGCATGTATCGTGGCATCCATGAGCTGGCGTAGCGGAAGCTTGTCGTATGACAAAAGTTTGATGGCACGTCGCTTTCCATCCTGGCTGGCTAAGCCAGGAGCTGACAGTGTGCACCTCCGCAGAATGTCTGATAGCACTGTCGCACACTGAACGTTTTTAACCAGGACGGGAATGACATTGGCTAGTTCGTTTTTTCCGAGCGAGTGGCTTAGCGCACATGCCCAGTGAATGTCGTTGATGGCGGGATGAGTGTCCTGATTGTAAGCGAGATGTAGATTTTTCATGGCGAGAAGGGCAAGTTTGTATGCACGATTGGGATAGCCTCGGTGCTCCATGTACCGAGCTATCGTGAACAACTGACTGGAGTTCATTATGTGGGAGGCAGCCTCTATGACTATTTGGTAGGCTGTTTCAAATGCTATGGGGTCCTTTTCACACAGAGTGAGAGCACACAAAGCACAATTCTGAGGATCTTTGGTGGCACACTGCAGTGCCAAGGTCCGAGCACAGTTTGCTAGATCCTCTTGCTGGTGAAAGTTCACATTCAACTGCATCATTGTTGTATGAGACATTATCGTCGTGGCAACCATTCCTGTAGCCTCGATTGGCTGGAACAAAGCGTACCAGTTCTGCATGATTGACACCAATGCTTGAACTCCGACCTCTGTCGCACAGGTCACTAGCCATCGAACCATCTCACGACGACGCCAATTCATCGTCATGAGCGTCATCTTCATCACCTGGGAACAGAAACATATTACAGATCAGTATCATTGAGGGATATTCTAAATACAGTGTATGAAGACATTAATTTTAGTGAGGTTTCTGACAATTCACCAGCCATAATTCTGTTTCCCCTTGGGACCACTGTACAAATGTGAATAATTTTAGACCCCATCATCCATTTATTATCAATTTTAACTCCTTCATTCAGCAGACTAAAAAGAGGTGTCATATTAAATATCAGGTTTTCAGTTTAGTGGCTTTGGAAATCATGGACAAACCTGTACCAAAAAAACACAAGCTGCTATAAATAAAATACTGTACACAGCATACCGAGATACACCATATTTATACTCTTGTATTGGAATCAAAATAGTTTCAGGAGTCGCATTATTTACAAGTACCTTAAAAATCCTAACACAGTTAAATCAATATACTGCGTCATTCTGCTGCTGATCCTAACATTTCCTCACATTGAGTTTTCTATAGTAACCCTACCTGTAGGCCAAGCTCAAATGCTGCGTTGAGTGCACCCATGTGTTTGGGCGTGTCTGGTGGTGTGGCTATCTTGAACACATCCTGAGCAAGTTTGAAGAGCTGTGACGAGCTGTGGATGTGTTTGTGCGCTACCTCCAGCACCGTACGTAACCTCCGGATGTCCCCCTTGGCTGCAGCCAGAAGGGTACAGGAGAGCTCGCACTGCTTGCTCTCGATGTGACCCAGGATGAACCAACGAGGGAAGCGGCTGAGCATGGCTGACCCGATGTTATTTAATCCATCATCTATATCTTCTGTATCCTCCAAAACTGGCAATCTGTGAACAAGTATCATGCTATTTGAAATTCTTGTACAATAATTTTTGTTTCTATTTCGAACTCATTGATATCTACATTACATTTAAACGTCCAAATTACTGTCAATCACAAGATTGTTGCTTCACTGAAGTTAAATGCCGATATCTTTAAGAATGTGTTTGCCATGGGCTGAAATCACCCTCCAATTGAGTTCTTACTACATTTATATTAATTTTAAACTTTTTTTGAACATTTTGTGAAATTTATAACAGCACATGTTATGACAATCACAAACCAATTAAAACTGCTGACAGTGAGTGATTTACAGTTGATATTTTCTTTTCTGTTTCAACTAACTTTATTGGTAAATCTGATAAAACATAAAAGGCTAGACTTTTGTGAATCTTCTCCAGTAAACCTTTCAAACATGCTTGATGTTGGTGCTATAAATACCTCATCGCCCGAAGGCCGACTTTGTAAGCCAGGTCCTGGTCGTGGGACAGAAGGCTGTTGAACAGGAACTTTGCAAATGTGTGCATTGGGTAGCTCTCCGAGTGTATCCCTATACCTAGACCACTGTGACTGCCTCCTGTAACAATTAGAAAGTGTCTCTTAATTCATATACATATAGTGCCTTCCCTTTGAAACTCCAGTTTGGTATACTGTTTTTAGGGTGAATACCATTAAACTTCATTTTCAGGCTTGAACTTGACCAGAAGACATCAACTTCATTCAATTCACTATTTAATAGATATATTTTGTGCCAATGAAGGCCTGCAGCACGAAACATGTCGGCAAAATGGTAAAAGGGAAGACTATACGTTATGGAAGCAGGGCTACAGGAGTTGCTACTTTTCTTTTTCCTTTAATTTATCACTTAAATTTATAGCAATGTTGTTTAATACATTAATATTTAAAATTACCATTACAATGTATATCTGTTTTTTACCTCTAGTAAACTCCAGTGTTACTGATTTGGTTTTCTTCAAATGGTTAGCAAAATTAAAATCAAATTTATTATTACTGAAGAGAAAATCGCATACGCTTGGAGGACATTATGGAGAAAACAATACTCTGCAGGTCTTCAGTTTGTTGACAAGCATCAGCAAAATTTGCTAGTTTCTTCCCAGCTTTGGTATATATACACCACACCCATAGCCCAGATACGGTATAATCTGTCTTAACTCAAATGTTGGAATGGTCTTTGAGTAAAACCCTAGGCAGTCACGATGCAGTGATAAATGTATACATTTCTTTGTAGAAAGAGCTGGTATATTCAGAAATCTGAATAAATCACACTTGTGTATAAAGAATTGGAATGATTAGAAATCCAAGTACACCATACTACAGGTAAGGTAGTTACAAACAGTTTGAACCGAGTTCTCTGTACCATGAAATAGAGAGACGTGATGAGGTATACGTACCTTCCAACATGAGAGTGGCCTGTTTACTGAACACAGATACCAGCGTAGGGTCGAGCTCTATATTATGTAGTTTGGCGATGAGTTTTTCCTCTTGTTTACATGCCTTTTCCTGGGCATACAGCCCTGTTGGCATCTGCCTCTGCTGGCTCAGACCGATTAGCGCCACCTCTAGGGCAAATGTCAAGTACGACTCGTTACGGTCTCCGTTACCAGGGATTGCCACATGGTGGTAGCGGGGTGGAAGACAACTTGGAGTCTCACCAGCAAATAGGCGACTGCTCAGTGGATCTGTGCAAAAAATAATAATACATACAGTTGCAGTCAAAAGGTCTTTCTTATGATAAAGTTAAGACTATTAACTAATTAAGTCGAATGTATTTTCTACAAAGCATTTCAATCGTAGCGAAACCAGCTACACTTTGTTGAATTATATTCTAACTTCTCAAAGTAAAAAAATTACAACACCAGACACTAAGATTACAAGAAAATGAGTTCATCAGAATAATATTTTTTTGTAAGATGGCTATCAAGAAAATAGATATTTGAAGTTTTCAGTACTTGATATTATACAACGTAAACGACGAGAATCCCTAGTGTAGGTCATGCTACCTGTAGGGGTGGGGTCCTCTGTGTTGATCGAGGCCTCCATGAGGGTGTCAAAAAGTACCCCCAAAGGATCCAACGCATGGCCTATCCATCCCTCAGTATTGTTGGTCTGTGGGGGTTTCTTCCACGACCCGCGACTAGTACTCGGTGATTCCTCGCTGTGACCCCTGTAAATCTGCTGGTTATGTTTCTGTTTCTTTTTCAATGACCTCACAATACTGACAGCCAATCGTAAAGACTCCTTGACGTAACCATGGGAACGTAAAGCGTCCACTCTAGCACATGCAGTTGGGAAATGTTCTGAAAATTAGATGTAGTCAGAAAATCAGTGTCAATATTAATATTCAAACATGTTTTGGATGTTGAAAATCAGATCAACATAAATCACAGTTGCAGGCAAAATTTCTTACTAAATTCATGGAGTAAGCACAGACACATAATACCTTTTTTATGGTAATTTGACTCAAACATGCCTAATAATAACTATTGATTGAAATGTCTGATGTAAACCATCACAAAACAGTGACTTACCATTCCAGAGGGGGACGCCCTGCTGGTCGAAGAGGTCAAACTGGTGGCGGAGACAGTGACAGAAGTCCTCCCGGAGAACCAACTGGAGATGTTTGTCCTCCCAGGTCAGCTTGCTGGCCGTCAGGGCACGGTGGAAAATCTTACGTGGCTTATTAGAGTAGGGACCTAACAAGGGTAAATACATGGGAAACATTAGTCACACACAACTTACACCTATGTCTTGTTATCTCAATGTTATTGAAAGTAGGAGATATCAAATATTGAGATAGTAATCTAGAGATTGATTGTTTTGAACAAATTATAACTTTTTCCTGCAAAATCGACACAATCCCAGATTATGATGCTGGAAATCGTGCCTTATATATTAAAGAAATTGTTCCATCTATGTTAAAGAAGGTCCAACCCTAGGGCAGCTTCAACTTCGTATCACATACGCAAGTCAATTATTACATTCGGGCATGCCTCATTCCTGATAAAGAGATCACATGGCTCTGGAGGCACCTTTAACACCAGGCGTGACCTTACCTGAGTTACTGAGGCCCATGTTGGTAAGAGTTAAGTCCCCTGCATGTCGGACATCAGCATCCTCGAGTGGACAGACAGGACACGATGACCATTCGTCGAGGAGCTTCTGCCAATGTTCCTTTTCTATCATGGTGGAGTTTGGGTTGAGCACAACACACACCCAGAGAGCACCTGTTGATACAATTATAGCACAGTCTATAACAATACACACCCAAAGAGCACCTGTTGATACAATTATAGCACAGTCTATAACAACACACACCCAGAGAGCACCTGTTAATACAATTATAGCACAGTATATAACAACAGCGTTTAACAAAGTGTCCATCACCACACACCCAGAGAGCACCTGTTGATACAAATATAGCACAGTATATAACAACAGCGTTTAACAAAGTGTCCATCAACCCACACCCAGAGAGCACCTGTTGATACAATTACAGCACAGTCTATAACAATACACACCCAAAGAGCACCTGTTGATACAATTATAGCACAGCCTATAACAACACACACCCAGAGAGCACCTGTTAATACAATTATAGCACAGTATATAACAACAGCGTTTAACAAAGTGTGCATGACCAATACCTTCATTACCAACATTTTCATTGTCACAATACAATGCAACACTCTAAAAGTACAGCAGAACCTGGGCTTTAAAACTAGATCTACTATCAGTGTTTTTATTATCTTCTTTCAAGTCCATTAACTGATTTCTTTTGCATGATACAGAATAAAATACCTGTGAGGAATTTGTCATTTATCAGGAATAATCTACATCATTGTTATCTTTAATACAATCTTGATTTCTCTAAACAATACATTTTATAATAGTGCTGTCTCCAAGAAAAGGCTTCATTGTCAAAGAGTCTAAATATAGCCCACGTTTGTTGGTCTTGATTTCTCTAAACAATACATTTTATAATAGTGCTGTCTCCAAGAAAAGGCTTCATTGTCAAAGAGTCTAAATATAGCCCGTGTTTGTTGACAACACACACATAAAAGAAGACATGGTATATAATACACATTGAAGTTAGAAGCGCACAAAGGCTAACCTAGTTCATCCCAAAGTTGTCGGCACTTGTCAGTCATGGGTTGACCTTGGGACTTCCACACGAGGAGGCGAGGGTCAGCAAGGAACTGTTCCGTGATCAGTGTCAGCATTCTAGCACCATTGGAGTCTCTAGCACGCAACATCTCTCGTACCTGTCACCAGAGAAACGATCACGATTACGAGCAAGCTCTCAACGGGGTGGGGAGGACGTTTTAGTGTGAAATACAATACTAAGTGCACAATACAATTCAATGATGCTAGATATATTCAAATTGAAAAATAAATGTAACACAACATCACTTAGGTCCACTCAAATTTCCTTTGACAGGCGTTGTGTAATGCACTTGATGTCAAAACTCAGATGAGTAGAACTAACATTGTCCTTTATGCAGTACTTTATATTTATAATACATGTACATCTAACCATATTAAAACATAAAGTCTTTTATTTTTGCTGCACTTTTTAATAATTATCTGTATTTTATATCATTGAATGAGATGAACAACTCCATCGATCCCTCGGACCACACATTAGATAAAAAAAAACTAGACCACACCTACGATTAGGAAAACCAATGCATCTTTCTGGTTTTTATAACCTGATTTTCTTTTATAGAAAGACAATAAGCCTGTTACACTAGGGTCATACTCATTGACTCTTAGACATCAAATATTCGTAGAAGTCGTTGCATGATGCTAACGTGTATAGTCAGCCTTTGCAGATCAATAACTGATCGACTCACGTAACAACAAGGAACTACCTGGGTGCTACAAATACTGTTCAGTACATGAAATCAATAAATGATTAATTCAAATTGACGATTAAATCTACGACAACTGCCGATTAAGTTCGGACATAAACTAAGGTTTGTTCCCTGGTGAAGGACCAGGGGCTATATAGAGTGTGGCACAAGTAACTTATCATTCCAGCCGTCAGTAGCACAAAGGAGCTCCTCAACAACTAGGCTAATTTTCACAATTAGGACGTACTAATCACTCACATTTTTGCATGTGAGAATTTCCGAATATCATTGAGTATTGATTTACATGACTAAAGGCACAGTGGGGTGGACTGGTGCTGTGTCACAATCCATACAGGTGTATTGTCTACCTGTCGGGTAACAAGCCACATCAAAGTGGAGGAAGACTTCCAGCTGTGAGTACATTGCTCATTATACAAAGATGTCAACCATTTCAAGGTACAGATGTACCGGGTAAAACTCATCAAGCTATGGATACTTAATTCTCAAAAGGTATACTGAACAAGCTCACACAAGGTGTACTGAACAAACTCACACAAGGTATATACGAAGTAAAACTCATACAATGTATACCGAGCAAAACTCATACAATGTATAATGAGCAAAACTCATACAATGTATAATGAGCAAACTCACACAAATTATACAGGCTTAAATTTTCAAAAGACTCACTGAAAGCTCACAAAATGTTTATTGGACAAATTCTTAAACAATTATACAGCTTGCTTAACTCAGAACAAGGTATACTTTACAAATTATCACAGCAAGGTATTGTACATGTTTTATACTAACCCAAATTGGTTTTCCAAGATTTGAGCATGCAACCAGCTTTCTTCTTAATTATTACTAAAATTAAATGTTTTTATTGGTTGTCACCTCCTCACAATTTTTGAGTACTGGTTAATATCACAATGAGTGGTAATGTGTTTTTTAACTGGAAAACAAATTTGAAGCCATGTGATGGATTATCAGTTTATTTGTGGGGTTTAAAACCTCACGTTGTTGTCAACAGATTTATTTTGGTACAATTTTTATGGCCTAACAAAAATATGAAAGATGCACTTTTGCCCAACATGTATTAGGTGTACTATAAAAGTTTACTGTTTTGTACCTTTGCGAACATAAAGGTGAGTTGATTCGACACTGTGATGTAGCCATCTTGAGACAGGTAGGATCGCACAGTTTCCCGCACTTGTTCTTCGTCTAAATGCCAGCTATTGTCATCGTCCACAGAAGCACCAGCGGTGGGGTCAGGAGCACCTGAGGAAAACAAAGCAAGGGGGAGTAATTAGCGCAGCCTAGGGTGGTCTTAACCTAAACATCACTGATGCAATAGACTAATTAGGATCAATTATTCATCCCTATCGCATGCGGTTGGCCAGAGTTAGCATGGTAAGTGTCAAGTCGTTCCCTCCTAGTGTCTCAGCAGGAATTCTCAGCGAGTTTCAGCATCCACATGATGAGAGAACCGAGAATATGCGTAACAGCATCCACATGATGAGAGAACTGAGAATACGTAATCACGTTTATGTCTCAATAAAAAATTATAGTACATAACTGTTAAAGTTCTCCTGGTGATTCCTGGTCAAAGTTTCGTACTAAAAATCGAACTTTATTTTGGAGACATGATACACCTTGTGTACATGCCATACACACGTGTACATGTGTACAAACCACTTCAGTTAAATGAAACGACATAGGTCTGTCATTTTCCGAGACGTTTTTAGGTAATAACTGTCAACTTATCACTAATGTTAACGATTCTTTGTAAGAGAATGAGAACGCTAGTGAATGTAGAATCACTGCCACAAATTGATCACTGTAGGAGTGTAACACTAAGTGGTTCAGGCAATGTAAAACACTCCCTACTACATGTACTATAATATCAAGCATTCCTGAATACTGTATTACAATACTCCCATACACTATAATATGAGAGCATACTTGAATGGTATAATATTACATTTCCAAACAGTAGAAAATCACTGCACTCTCTATTTATACTATATTACAATCTTCCCTAATACTGATATCAAAGTTTTACTTTCTACACAAACAATGTATGTACATATTAAACAAGTCACAACGTTTCCAGACGGACTGGTCCCTTTGTCAAGCAATGACAATCCTTCCTAATACTGCAATATCACAGCACTCCGTAATACTATAATATTACAATGTTCCCAAATTCTATAATATTACAGCATTCCAAAATACTATAATATTACAACGTTCCCAAATATTTCCATACAAACATTCAAAGCGAACACAGAACTTGTTCATTAGAGTTTTTTAATGTGTTTTTGTATCTAGAGACTTAAATATTGTACACATTACCTGGGTATTATATACACAAACTTCAGATAACAGTGTATATTGGACTGGTATGGGTATCCCGTAAAAACAACACTTGATCAATTTACAGTATAATAAAAAAGACAGATAATAATTTTCTACTGTGTTATCTAGTTACCCAGACAAACAACGCTGACCAGTACCTTATAGTTATCAAGGGCGTTATTCTGGGCCATTGTGTCAACAATACTAGTGGCCACTATGTGGCTGTAATGCATTGTGCCAATGACATAGGTCCTGACTGATTTCCTGCTTCATTACACTGTCAAATTACCTCCCCTTTCATCGCCTCCAATACAAACAGCTTTATCTGCACTTTCATCTTCCTTTTTACTCAAAGAAAAGAATCTACAGAATACAGTGTAGAACTACCTGTGTGTAGTCAAGGGTGTGATGGAATACGACAGACCATCAACATCAACCTTTGTCAATCAGAATCTAATTTATCATTGTTTGACGATGCATCAGGCATACACTAATTTTATGGACGGAAAAGTAAGAAAATTGTCAACCCCTGTCAACAATCTGAAAAATGGCATAGACAGAGATGATTAGAGAGCTGCACTGCAGGGGAGTGAACTTTTCCAGGAAATACCATCACCACATCGTCCCACACCTTTCCGATGTCTGTCAATGCCTTAGTCACCGTCTGATGAATGAGTCAAGTCAAAGGTCAACTATAAAGGTCATCATGCTTTCCATTAAAGGTCATTTGAGGTCAACTGAGGTTGTCATGGTCACAATATGAATACTGAGTAGCTGAAGCGTTCTATTAAAATTCACAACACAGAGATAATCTATTTAAACAAACTAGAAAATTTAACTCGATGTTATACAATGAATTTAAACATTTTGCTCACGTTAAACAAATTTGTGCACAATAGCGATTCTGTAACTGCTTTTCACGTGAACGAAACACATTATTCCTCCTCAATACAATCCCTGGCAGCTGAATCATCCAATTAAAAGGCAACAGTAAGTTTTCACCTAAGCCTAGTTCGAAGATTTTTAATGAATTCTGCATACCTCATAGGCAATTTTTCAATGGCCTTGCCTAAAATAAACTAATGAATGTTGACGAAACATTCAACTCATGTGTACCAAGCGTGTGAGGCCACTAACATTATTGGCACAATACAAATCGCATTTCCAAACAATTCACAAATGTCCTCTTTGAAAGAAAGAAAAAAAGGAATTTACATAGACGGACTAGCCTAGAATGGGTAATACTAATGCTATAGTTGATAGCTTTGCACTTTGACAAATCCTGCTTTACCACTGTAATCTTGATCACTGTACTAAGGAGTTTTCTCCCATGAACAATAACCCAAAACATTTTTCTCAGGATTGCACGGTCGATGGAATCCAATACTCCTTAAAGAACAAAACATCAAAACTCCTGGGGTAAGACCAATCACCTTAGTTCAGTCGAGTGTTCATGGTCAGATAACTGGCATTCCCAAGAACAGTGGCACTTGATAGAAATTGGATTTTATTCTGTAACACAAGAAAAGGCTTAACAGACCACTGGCCAAACCTTATGCACAAATTGAGTTATTCTTACAGACAACTAGCATGATCCGTTACAAAGTACAGCTCAATGAAATCATGCATTTAAAACAGATTTGCATTTTATTCAAAACAGGAGTTGTTTTGTGTAACTGGTTCAATGTAAACAGGTAGACTATCTCGCAATAGTATTTTTATCCAATTCAAACAATTACAGAGCATTTATCCGTGTGCTTTTAACCGGAATAAGATAGCCACTAGTTAAAATATCTCAGTCATAACACCTTATCTCGTGGTTGTTGAAACTTAAACTCGTTAGCTAAGTACAGGTGCAAACGTCATTGAAAAACACACGGAACTGGGATCTAAACAATCCCCTCCTGACACTAGTGAGCTGAGTCAATCCAGAGAAATACATGTAACTCAATCCAGCATAAATCTTGTTTAAACAGAACAACAATGACAGCCATAAAACTGGAATCAAATCAATATGCATACTTGCCAAGTCTCCTTATTTGGAGAGGAAGCCTCCTAACATTTTACCTTCATTAAAGACATCTGAAATTTGCATAATTGCTCTACATTTGACTTTTGAAATTTGCATATTTCTAAATTTTTCACCACAATTATGTATACTTTTGCTCATTTTAAAATAATTCAATGCATAGCTGAACTATGACGTTTGTCAAGTACGGGTCATTATAAATACTTTTTTAACTCTTTTACCAAATATGAGAATTTTGGTACCTGTTAGATATTCTTTGATAAATTTAGCAAGAAATTATACGATGCACTTCAAGTTTATACATCATTTGTCTCTGACTAGGCATAATAAATATTGTCTGTGTATTATTAGTGTTGAACACACTCTTGACAAGTTATTCAATTCCTGATCAAAATACTCATAACAACACAAATATATTAAAAAAGTGAATGTTTATATAAAGAAATTCAATTTTATACCTTCACAGCACACAAACATGTTCCTATTATTCGATATCTGCCGAAATGTGTACCAGAGTCTGTTAGAATGGGGTGACTGAGTTCTATGGAACTAGTGCCAACACAAGCCTACCTTGTGTATACATCCAGATAATAAAATGTCAACAGTAGGATTACCTTCACACAACACCACTCCTAAAGGTACAAAGTAAATTTGAGATTTTATATTGAGTTTTTAGATTTTCAGGGTACACTTGTCCAGTTTATCATTAGGTGGATCCCTTTACTAGGGTTACCGTGACCCTACGACCTGTAATTATCTCCCCTGATGTGGTAAACCACACTGACGTCAGTGTAGTCAAGTGTGCCCATGTTCGTAAAGGAGGGTATAAGATAACTTTCCTACCATAAGAGATGAATCTCCGGTGAAAAATGATCACTTCCTTTCTATACAATTTATAAACAGTTGCTGAAGGATTGATAAGATAAGTGTTTTATGTACTAACATACCAACTTTTTCATGGAAAGACATGTGCACATTAGGTGTTTTCATCAGATGAACAATTAATCAATGTCAAAAAAAAATTGCATAGAAGTGAATGATAAAAATTGCCCAAACAATCCCCCTTGCCCCACCCCATTTGGTAACAAGCTATGTATTTTTTGTAACAAATTTTGTGTATTTATTAGTATTCACAGCCTTCGAACCACTTAAAGATAAAATCATAATTCAATCACATTACTCCTGAAGAAAATAAAAGCCACAGGTTTTTAAAAAATGTTTTGATGACATGGTTTTACATTTTCTTATCCGGGAATTTCCATAAACGGACAAAATTTTGAATGATGAGGGGAAAAAAGGATCATACATTGGTATGATAATTTATCAAGAATGAATCTGTTTACGCACTCTATATGCTAAAAGCCAGAAAAGTGATCGTTTAATTTAGCTAAATGAGTTTGTACCCCGAGGGATGCATGTACCGTCTGGCGACTGTTTAGTCGCCTACAGAACACTTCCTCCACTGGGGCCTCTTAGGGCTGAAATCAAGTCTGTACAAGACCATCAACATTGTATCAACTTTACCAAGCCATAACCTTTTTGTTTTTATATAAAATTGTGGCCAGGATTGCTAACATATGTAGACCAACCACTGTACTGTATGCCCGACTACATGTACTTAAACATGTGGCACAGGGGAGAGAGCAAAACAGAATATCTAATTTACCATCAAAATCAATGGTCATGTGGAATCTACGGTTCAACATAATGCGGTATGGCTGGGTGTCTTAATGTCATCAGATAACAGTAGGAAACGGAGAAAAAGTTGAGGTGTAACAGGCGTTTGCATGGTGTGTGACACTTGGGGTACGGAGAAGCCTGCACACTCTTACTAATCTAATCTGTGGAAGCACATAGAACTGATAGGACTGTAGACCTCTACAGATGGCTGACTGCCTGGCTCAGGCTATATACTGGTGGACACAGTAAGTACATATAACTCGGGGAAAGCCACAAAGCCAATAGGTACAGCCTCAAGTACACGGCACTTGAACACAGGGATCCATACTTTTCCTTCTCCCTCCAGGGCCCTGCACGTTACACATCTAAGCACAGGACACCAGGCACTCATGGACCGGAAACATGATCTGCCCTCAACAACCTGGCACCAAAGGGCCACCCTGGTGATCAACCTGCCATCGTGACCAATCCAAAGGACATGGGGTTGTGAGGATAAGCTATGACCTCACGGGATACATCACATGACCACTTACCGCAACAGGAATTCTCGCTTGTTTTTTTTATATTTTTTTAAGAAAGTTGTGAAGACTTGTGCTGATGAGTAGGAAATGGACTTGCCAGAGCTAGCACATTTTGACGTAAACCCCCTCTGGGATTTCTGATGCAGTTACATTTCCATATGTCTGCCTAATGTAAACTAGGGAGAGTGTTTTTGGTCTGGAGCTTAGCGAGATCTGCAGGCCATCACTACAGCCTTTACCGTCGTCATCATTTTGGTATTGGAAGTTGCTGAGAACAGGACTTGACCTGGACTTGATGATACACAAAATTCTGCGGGCATTCGCCAATTAAAGCGTGGCATTAGGTACACTCCGCTTATAACACAGGGATACACACTAATTCCTGTGTCTAGTGTTGATATTAAAGTATTTCCAGTTAAAACGAACAAGATGTTTGGAGTTTGTACCAGGGCAATATTGATAAGGTCCAATCAACGATATAGGGTGTGCTTTGCTTGCCTAGATCATCCTGACCTTTCTGGGGGGTTCCAAAGATTCGGAGAGCCAGCCTCCCAAATCCTCCCCCAAGATCTATTTGATGTGGTCGTCTGTAAGTTTAGCATCACTGTGCTACGGTACTACCTTTTCTTCTCATCATAACTAGCAGCAAATATGTTAACGTTTGTATCGACATGTACTGATCAGGGAATATTGCCCAGTGGCCTGGATCAGTGCAAAACTGTAAAGCAGAGAGACATAAAAGATACTGGTTTGGTGTGTCCCTACATAAACAGGCTAATTACTACCCCATTACAGCTAGTTCCTTTTGGTGTCTACGTTCACCACAGCTATTTACCATCTGTGACCAAGCACAATTTTTCCCGACTAAATAAAGGCAAACTTGACGACATGCTGCCGTCACAGGCCACTGTATCTCTAACAAAGTTTAACCATGCTTTATAAAGTACCAAGAACAAATATCGTTAACCAAGAACGACCATCTCTAAACAAGTACAACTTACTTGCTGCCCGTTAAATCTTTGGCGTGCTGGGCACAAACAAAGTCTCTACACCTGTCTACTTTTTGCCCTTCTTAGTAATGTCCCCCATGAGGGAAGCATTTAGTACTATCACCTTAAACAGTCATTTTTTTGCTCAGTTTTACAGCCAAATACAGGCTGTTTCCCCTAGCTAAAAAGTGCCTTATTTTCCCAAAATGAACAAAAATGAGCAATACATTCCCAATTTAAATAAAATTAATGCTAAAAAAAATCCCCAATTCATAAAGGAAGAAGTTGTTGTCTTATCAGGTAAAAACACACACACTATTAAATCAACCTTAACCAAGTACAACAACCAAGTACAACCATCCGTAAACAAAAATGACCGTCTGCTACCAAGTGCAGCCAGTATTAACCATGTACAGCCAACCACATACAGTCTCATTCATAACAAATACATGTACAGCCTATCATAACCAAACAACTATCTCAATACAACCATCATAGCACAGTGCACCTATCCCAAATACAACCTGCTATGACCAAACCCAGCCATCCCAATTAGGCACAACTATCATTAGCGGATTGCACCTATCCCTGTCCAAATAAAATATCAGCAGTCTGCAACACAAATTCTGGACATCTATACCAGAAAAGCTACGATGCCATCCATCCTTTTGTAACATGAAACTTCACTGAAGAACTCCGTAAAGACTCTGTCTGGGGCTGCTAGTCTTAACACATATGGTATACAGAGCAGAGGTAAGTTTTTTCCCTAACCCTAATTAAATCCTCTACTTCAATTTTTTTTTTAAGCTGTTCTCCCCAAAAAAATGGTGACCTGAAGACTTTAATAATTAATCTTGGCTACTTGAGCAAATGTTGTGTAGCTTTTCAAGCTTCTGAAAAAATGTCTACATCCCACTTCAGACAATTATGCTTTATTTATTTTTTTAAAGTCATTAAGCCAAAACTGAAGACTTGAAACTGATTTATCATGGTTACTTTTTGTTAAAGAGTAAGAACAACAGATAAAGGTCATCACTCAGACCATAATAAAGGTGGCAATCTTATAAGACTTATTAAACAATGTGTACATATCTTTTTGTGGTTAAATACATCTGCTTTTTATCTAAATGAAATCAATACAATGTTAGAAAAATCAGAATTCGAACAGTAGCACAAAAATTGGTCTGATCGGTGCAGTTTCAAAAATAAAAGGTGAAATTATTTATACTAGAAAGCACTAGTAAAGTCCCGACAGAAATGAACTGGTTTGTGTTAGGTTCTAACCTGAAAATGATCTACTGTCGATTATTAGGGGGTGTTTAACATGACATTGCTGAACTAGTGACAACACTCGAGCTATTTTTCTGTATTTCCCAGTAAAACACTTGACATTACTCTAATGTCAAAATTTAACAAACAGTAATATTTCTGACAAGTGCAACAGTAAGTTCAAACTATTGACAGATTGTCTACAAAAAGGAAATTCTTCAAAATAAAAATTTCATCTCATTTCTTTAAGGCTTTAGGAAACTTGAGCAAATTACCTCAAAGTTAATACGACTATTCATCTTAATCTTCGCCCTAAATATTTAACTTTTTTCTAAAATTCTTTCTGAAAGGCAATTTTCTGTCTGATTTCCTCTGCAATCATCTTAGAAAGTTCAACCACTTAAAAATATTGCTATCTCCTAAGATAAAAAGAGGCAGATTTGAGCAAATTGAACATTTTATATACCCCATACTTCTCTAAATGCTTTTTTCACATCAACATTTTAACATCAAACGTAAATAGGCCTATACAATATACACAACAGCCAATTGTAAACTATTACATTTTTTTTACGCTTAACTGAGAACAGTTCCTTTTATCAATGACAAATGCGGCCTATGGTAGGGTTGTACGTACCTCTATAACTTCCATCTGTTACTTCTTAATGTCGTCGGTATTTTATAACATTTGATAAAGAAGTTTATCTGGCTGGGTGACTTTATTGTATACGTTTACACAAATAAAAGTTAAAATGTATAGCAAGTCAGGCTTTCTTTTATGATTACGAATATTTTCATTACTTAGATCTTATCAAAGAGTGGGATATTCTTGACTGGTTCCATTTATCTATAGAAATAGCCTGACTACAGGGCATTAGTGCCGTACAACTGCCCGGTACCAAAGTCGCCTATTTAAGCACTCATTGTCGATTTTAATTTACCTCAAATGATTGGCTTTTTATGGCAGTTGTTTGGCTTTTTTTGTCCAGAATAGGGGTTACTTTCATCGTCAGATTCTCAGATCTTCATCTAGAGGTGTATGGTTTTTCTTACACAATGAATGACTTTGAAAAGCGTAAAATGAGTTAGGCAATTGGTCTTTTCAGATAAGGATTTCACCAAGAGGAACACTATACAAATGTACACAATCGCACCAGTCAGGAAAAAATTCTTCATATTTAGCCCTCCAAACAACACAGAATTGATGTATTTTCAACTTGATCACCCCTGCTTTAAGCACACATGGGGCTACAAATCAAAGAAAGGGTTAGACCAATCTTTAAATTTGAGGTAAAGATTCCATCAAATTTAATGTGAAAAAAGCATGACTTTACTGTTTAGGATTTGTCATTAAAAAGGCTGAAGACTATTTTACGGGCATGTTTCGCAGACAGTCTTAAGAATGACTGGAGACAGTGTACAGCCAACTTCACAGACATCACACCTACTGGCCATCAAAAACACACTCGTCTTAACCTCACTCTACCGTAAAAGTATTGAGGGAATGCCAAACGTTATGACCGTGTAGTCCAAAATTCATATACACGCCACTTAAACCTGATCCTTCGATATCAAGTTTACAATGAATAAACGTACAGGTTTTCTCCTTAGGATTTCAGAGGCAGCTGATTCATTTGAAAATGGATACTAAAAAAGTACATGACTGGCATAGAGATAAACAAGATATTTTTTTATAAATGTAAAATGTCTTCTGCCCAACTTTGTATATCAGTACATTGATTGTATCAGTTTCAGACTCAGGCCTGCAGTATCTGTTTCATACACAACACACAAACATAACAATCTACCTTGAATTCCCATGCACAAAGAATAAAAAAAAAAATCCAACAAAATTTGTGCTTTTAACTCATTCACCCCTGTAGACACATTTGAACTCTTCTGATTCAAATGTTGGAATAGTTCATTATGATATATCGGGGGTGAATAAGTTAAATATTGCACCAAATTATGAATACACGATTTAGAATATTATGGACGCACCAATTCCTCAATACACTTATTTGTTTAATTTTGATAATGTGCTTAAATCCGATTGCTCTAAAATAAGAATATTTACAGTATGTTACTGAACTAGGCCCAACTTTCTATTTTTTATGGTATTGTATTAAAAAAACACACACAAAACATAACAATACCTGGAAGAAGATTGATCTCTGACTTTGCACATAAAATTTCATCAGCTATTTTCTGCGCAGTTGGAAGGACCTCTGAGTGATGTTCTGCTATTAAATACTGCGCAAACTTTTGCAGTTGTTCCCGGCTCATCTGTAAAAGTGTTTCTGCAAAGGAAAGGAAAAATAAATATCAACTGTTACTACCAGTTACTGATCTATAAACTTTCAAAAACAATAAACATGTAAAGGGAAACTTCTGCATAACATACATCAATAAAGTATATTACACTCATCCTAATATATTTTGTGCCAAAATCGTTCTAACAATTTCTTTCCCTGATGTGTGCTGAGGGAATATGGTCTGTAACTGACCTTTATATACAGGCTTGATTTGAAACAGTCAAACCTGTGTTAGGAGACCACCCTTCGGAAGCCAAGAAAACGGTCTCTTAACAAGGGTGGTCTCTTGATACAAGTTCAATCACAATAAAATCACTACAACCGAGGAACACTTAAATTGGTCTCTTAATGCAGGTGGTCTATTATTACAGGTTCAATTCAAAACGAAATTATGACCTCTCTATAAAGACCAGCCGACAGTGATGACCACCGTGGCTGATCTGTTCTGTTCCCTGAAATTTCATAATGAACTATTCTAACCTTTGAATGTGAAGAGTTCAAATGTGTCTTCAGGGGTGAATGAGTTAATGTATAGTGAATCAGTATCAACCTGACAAATGTTGTTTGATAACTGGGTTCCTTTTAATATTGTAGTACACAAAGGATATTATATGTTATATGGATATATAAAAGTGTAAACCACTTGACGAGAGGGTCTTAATACATTAAAATATCCAATTTTGAAAAGAAATCAAAAGACAGACAGGGGCCAGTATCTGACTGAGATGCACCAAAAGAAGTTTTTAGCGTCATATCAGAGTTATATTGCCTGAAGTTACGGGGCTTGACTGATCAAGCAATACAAAATGTAGAAAATTAATCAAAGAGTTATGTTACTGAGATCATCTCCCAACCAATGTCCAATGCTACACGTCTTTTTCCAGTCTTGCAATAGAAAAAACATTCTATATTTGTTATCGACTCATCATGCCAAGTAAGATATTCTATTGCAAAATACATGTTGGCAATAAAGGTATTTAGAGATGCATACATATAATGACTTGAAGTTAATTTATTTATGATTGTTCTTTATAAAGGGATGATTATGATATTTTATAACATGTAAACGGCTATTGCACCCATTACCACTCTGAAACTTCCTGAAAACTGGTGAAAATCAATAGGAAACCAGTGGAGTGAAGTCAATGTTCCAAAAGAGCCAGTAATTTCTGGTAACAACGGCAATTTACAACCAAAATAAACAATGGTATTCTAATGAGTAGTGATGAGAAATTGTACAGAACTAAACAGGTCAAACGAAGTATACAGACATGTCTGGGATAAGGTTAAACCATTCATTCATTATTTTCCCTTTCAGTAATTTTTTCTTTCATTTTGGATATGTGGGGTCATTCTAGCCCTTTCATGAACTGTGTTGTATTGATTGGGGCCGGTGGACCATGAATGTGGACCCGTTTACATCTCATTATCACTACACTGCATGTTAATGAGGCTGGCTCGATCAATGTGAACACATCCCTTCATGGAGGGTTCAATATTCGCCACACAAAAGTGGTGATCTATCAGATAGGAAACATTGTCCTGACTGACATCTGTGACAAGAGGAAATTAGATTTATCCATAATGATACAGAAAATGTCTTCAGTCATCAATTTTTAATTGCAAATTGGCAATAATTTTAATCCAAGATTATTTCTACACTTCTGGTGGGTTCAGTAGGTGGTAAAAACTAAGTCTGATTCTGCACCAACACCACGGTCAGTATAAACAGGTTTACACTGATACCTGACATAGGTAGTGATGTGTCAGTATAAACAGGTTTACTTTGTATCCCGACATAAAAACCCTGATGTGTCAGAATAGACAGGTTTACTTTGTACCTGAAATAGTGACCATGAGGTGTCAGTATGGACAGGTTAACTATGTACCTGACATAGTGACCCTGAGCAGGTGCCAGTATATACAGGTTTACTTTGTACCTGACATAGTGACCCTGAGGTGTCAGTATAGACAGGTTTACTATATCTGATATGAACCCTGATTTGTCGGTATAGACAGGTTTACTATGTAGCCGACATAGTGACCCTGAGGTGTCAGTATAGACAGGTTTAATATACCTGACAAAGTGACCCTGAGGTTTCAATATAGACAGGTTACTATGTACCCGACATAGTGACCCTGAGGTGTCCGTATAGACATGTTTACTATGTACCTGACATAGTGACCCTGAGGTGTCCGTATAGACAGGTTTACTATGTACTTTATATAGAACAAATGAAATGTCAGTATTGACAGGTTTCCTTAGGCATGTACATACCTGATATAGGGACCCTGAGTTGTACACTTTCGGCCTTTCGTATCCGGTATAAGGATAATGCCACCACATGTTTGCACCAAAATATATCCTTGTCTCCACAGCCACATTTTACTGAGGTAATTTTACACCTGGAAAGATACAAAAATACATTGGTTATAATAATATGGAATATAATACTTCATTATGTTTATCAGAATGTTCATAACAAACATTTATCTTTCAGATCACTATTTTTCTAGTAACATTCGTGTAATAATTTTTCTATGACTGAATAAAATCTACTAAGCATAGACATGGGGGCAGTAGGACTTTTTACGTCAGATGAAAACAGATTATTAATTTCCTGAACAAGGGAGTTCTGAAAGAGTACATGAAACTGACTCCACAGAGATCTCTTTGAAAATATTACTTCAAAACGACAAACTGACTCCAGGAATAAGTGCCAAGTCCCAATCCCAGTCCACCCCACACATTTATATTGATGTTTTCTGAGGGGGAGTCAACCATCACCGTGGAAACCAGACATCCCTCAGATCCATATTAGACCTTGCTCCAGCTTTGATCTAGAATAGTCTAATAGTGTATCTAGAAGTTGAAGGGTACCAGTAATTGTTTTCAATGTAAGCCTATAGGTGTAAATTAGCACCCTCAGATGACAAGATGGCTATCAGTGAACAGCTGTTTTAACTTCCAAATTTGAAGAGCACATGAGGTCTGCACAGGAGTGATATGACCTCCAACTTGGTTCTCTGCATTTCATTACTTCTCTTTCATTGATGTTTTTGAAATGCTTGTTTGATTCTACTATTTCACTAGCTAACATATACACATTGTATAACTACGATATAATGTAAAGATATTTTTCATGCTCTAATTTATTTTTAGGATTTTCAACTTCAAGCACGAAAACGTGTTTGGATTAGTGTAAGAGCATTCTAAAATGAAAACATGTTTCAGGAAAGTTTGATTTACAAACATAAAGGTCAGCATATCAAATAAACCTGGAAATTCATATTTAGCAGCAGTATTTATATTAATAATGCAATATTTATAAACAAGTTTCCCTACAGTGAAGGAAATTGCCCAATAACCAAAACATTGAAAAAACACTTAGTTCAAATATTAATTGTCAAGTTTCACTCATTAAAATCAAAAACCTGATAAATCACCACTAAATCACTTATACATTCATACACCTGTGATATAAATTGTAAAAAGTGAGGTGGCCTTAGTTATGGAGCATATGTTAGGAACACTTTGATGTGGTTCATAAGGAAATACTATATTTCTAGTCGGGCCAGGATTGAGGGATGACCTTGTCAGACCTAACTCATGAAACCCTCTATATAAGGCCCTTCACACCTGTGATATGTCATTTCAGTTTGTAGACTTTATGAGTAACCATCATTACCGCTACATTTATATGGCCTCGTCTCCTTTGATGATAATTACCACTGTTCACGTTTGTCTTTATATGTTTTATGTTAATATGAACTTGCTATATTTGAACGCAGAACAGCTGTGACATGTTTCATGTCTTCTTATTTCTATTTTATTTCAAAAAATTTTTTTAAGCTTTACATCATGATCACACTTCTTCATCAGCTATTTCTTGTTGTCTTTGAAATACGACCCCCACTAATTTATAGCTCTATATGACACTAATTATATAATAAAACAAAGCCAGATGGAGGAGGTTCCAGACACTAATTATATAATAAAACAAAGCGAGATTTGTGAAATTATATTGACTATGTCATCAATGCATTTTTCTTGGAACTTCAAATCGCTGTATCAACCCCCAGGCAAGATCTATACCTGTATTCTGATACAGCTGTACTTTTAACAAACTGTTATATGTCATATAGCATTTTCTGATTCTAAATCTCCATAATTCATACATTTTCCTTTCATTGCATCAAAGGACTTGAATTTCATTTGTAAAACCATAAAAAATATTGACAAATTGGAACATACTTTTTCATATACAGTCCATTTTTTTATTTTCACATGCAATATATGGCTATTTTTCCATGTAGCAGTACGTAGAATACATGTTTCTGATATATAGGTTACTGACAGCTACTGTTTTTATTGAGGATCTTTTTATACTGCTACGGATGTTATATGGGCATTGCCAAGTTTTAATTGAAAATAAATTTCTGGGCATTTTGAAAATGTATTGGATCAAACCGTTAAGTTCTGTCATACAGAGAGAACAAAACCTCACCATTATATGACACAGTTTATCCTATTTTATTGACAAAGATCAAAACCTGTGCACATGTTGTAACACAATCGTCCTGTCACAAAGACAGATGAAAATTTTACGAACATCTGTGACACAAATAGAGGCAGATACTGCACAAGCCTGTATGATGACAATAACTGGAAATATTCCATTTTAGATAAATTATTCTGTGAACGTGTTACTTACAATGAAAATATGGCCCCCATTTATATAATTAAATACATTTTTGTATATATGTATTTATGCGTGACCTAAATGTAGGGGAAAGTCGCACTGCAGGTTACCCACAGCTGCGAAAATGTCACACCTGGTGAGCGGAAACTTAGTGTCACGCTACGTAATTAGCGCATGTGTTTTACATGTACTGCAATAATATACTGCACATGCTAAACATGCTGGTGGGCGCTAAGTCTTATGACGAATGGATCAGTATGAGAGGAGCTTAACATGCTGGTGGGCCTCAAGTCTTACAATTATACAGATCTGTGCTAGAAGTGCATGTACAGTTCATGTGACTAGCAAGGGTGCTTCTGACATGTTACGTACAGATCATGCTCTATTATACTCTCTGCACAACAGGATTATGTCATAACAAAATTGAAGGCACGCAGCTAGTTATTTGATTGGTCTCGGTTGAAAAAAACCTGACCAATCGCTAGCTAGGATGATACCTGTCCTTTGAGGATCACAGAAGACAGACACCTGACTTCAAAGCCAGCCAATTTTACCTTACGCTGCCGAGGGATTCTTTTGATGTACAATTAAGGATCAAACTTGTCTTCCTGCCTCATCCAAAAGGAAGCGCACACTGAGCATTCAAATTTTTTTCATGACATATTCCAGGGGTGCAGAGAGCATACATGTAAGTAAGCGTTACTCCTGGATTATCAAGGATGGGTACGGAAGTACTTAAATCAGAATTTAGTTTAACTCTTAAATCGTAACTAATTGAACAAGCTAATCTGAGTATAAATGGCCGTATGTTACATCAAATATTAAATTGTAATCAATCAGATTGTCACAAACAGTTGTATCAGACAGTTGTACATTTTGATGGCTCATTTCTAACAGATTTGGTTCAAAATCAAATATACTGTTGAGATGAAATTTAATTTCCATAAAAAAAATATTTTTTTTAAAAATGAGACAGCTAAAAAATGGACTACAAAGAAATCAAAACTTGGTCTGTATGTAAATTATTCAAGTGGTACATGTACTAGTACATGTGTACCGAAAGAGGCTACTGTGTGAAGCAACCATAGTGAACTTGTTGCTTCCATGTGACCAGTTTTTTCATATATTATTTGCAGGAAAACCAACATGTATTCAACATAACATCATTTTATTAACCCTTTCACCCCTTATGTCACATTTAAACCTTACAATATTAAAGACTGGGCAAGTCCAATTGAAATATGTAGGGGTGAACGAGTTAGGTAGCATAAGAACAGAAAGGCAGGGATACACATACAATATCTGTTCCCCTAGCAGCTTTGTCTAGCATGTGTCTAGCATGTTTAAATTTTCTGCTACCTCCCCACAACATATGACTAAAAGTTAAACTGGTGCTGGGGATAATGTGTTACAGTACATAAATGCTTTATTCCCCTTATTAAAAAAAGTAAAGCAAAGAAATGTTGTTTTAAAATTCACATGCACTTATTTTCTTCCACAACCAAACTGTCGCAGTACTCTCAGTTTGAATGTTACAAATGTACGGACCATCCTTCCCACGTGTCTGTGATACCAACCCTCAAAACGTGCCTCACAATAGGCACATGTACAAGGTGCAACCCATTGTACCACATAATTATCTCCCCTGTTTTTATTTGTAAAACGACACAAAAATCTATATTCAAATAGAATTGCTCAGATAAAAGAGTTATTTCATCAATGAAAGACTTCTATCCATGAATACCCGATGAGATTCAAAAGAAGAATTAATTCTTGCATAAGTAATATGCTAGATGTTTAGGGTGGTCTAACATTGATTGTGAGGAGAAAAGAAATATAGGATTATAAGTTACCTTTTATCAAGTATTGCTCTACATAAAGGTACCGCAAGCCTACCTAAATCCTCAGTCTTATTTACTGCGGATTACAGAAAATTAAATGGGAAGCTATTCAGGGGAAAAAATGTCTCGCATGGCTTTTAATGCATCTGGGCAGGGCGTGTACAATGGGTGTACAATTGATTCTGTTGATCTAGACTGGCAATGGATTTCCAGTTCAGAAATGTCTCTGATTCACTGAATCCAGTTTACTTTAACTCTGTCATGTCAAGTCGGGAGCCAATTATAGAGCTGGTGCATTCCACTGTTAATTCATCAAACAGCTTGGCTTTAACGATCATTTCCAAGGACCCCAGATCAATAGGGAAACACAAGATTTATATAATCCTTGTTCAGTGCCCATACATTTGGCTCCCACTCTTTTGTACTGCTAAGCATCCCTGTGGCCCAGTCGACTAAATAACAAGTGCTTGAATGACATTGATCAGATCCTGTTCTCCGGTGTGATTTATTATAAATCTTGACGACTGTAATGTGCTCTGATTCACATATTCATTATAGCGTATAAAAAGAAGGGAACTGCAAGATCCTTTCAGACGCCAGCATGAAAGGAACTCATTTCTTACACACACAGTAACTACATCCAAGTAGAAGAATCCGTAATAACAGTCCTAGTGATCAAAAGATGTCATGTATCCTTGGATTCGTATTTTACGTTTTCCAAAGGTACTATGTTATCCAGTTTCATATCATTATCGTTCACCGGGGATTGCATAACATCTTTCTTCTTTAAGCGATTGGAATTAATGACATGCAAAGAAACTCGCAAAGAGTTTGCCTGACACAGCATTCAGAGTGGAGAATATTATACTTCCCCATTTAGTAATGCCAAATACCATGAAATTCTGCCATGCTCACAATCAAAGGTTTTTTTATGTTGCAGTGTTAGGTGTATGGACGTGGACATAAAACCAGTGTGTAGTGAGTATAATAAAGGTAGCCTTCATCCTAATTAAGGTTCAACCACCTATTATAGTGTAACCAACATTTTTCATCTGATTTCCTCCATTTCAAAGAACCTAGTCAACTATGAAGAAACACTTCTGCGCCTCATCGACTGCTAAAGGTTCGGAGAACTGGACAATGATTCCAGTCTTCCCAGCAACCTTTGGCACAGCGGGCCAATGTGTGGAGGTCTCACAACCTGCTGCCACACGCCAGCCATAATACTACATGTAATGTGCACTGTTGCATCATACCAGCATATAATGCAAAATTGATACGAAAAGAGGCAGGCAAGATGGGGAAGCACTCTATCATGATGTGAATTTAATATACATGTTTTATACATTTATTACCACTGATGCGCTTATGCCTGCAAATATCGATGAATTTGCCAGAAATTAGATCTATATGCAACATAGAATGAAACAGGAGCCACCCTTCATTGCAAGCAAGGCAATGCAATAGCATGGCCTCTCTGGTGTGTTGTCATGGAGAACAATATTAATTGGCTCAAATACAAGAGCCATCAGGATAATTATTAATATCTGCAATATTTATGGTGAAATGGTAAAATTTTACTCAGTCAAGATATATGCCAAGGACATCCCAAGGTCACCATTAAAACTTACCTATCAAAGTTGATAGACACTTGATATGTATTGTCTGGCTCCGTGGTATACAAGGGGTTGGCAGGTTCTGTTACTGTCCCACTAAGGTGAAATCCTGAAAACACAAAAACATTATTTATTATTCCTATCATCAAGATACCAGTAATGTTAAGAAATTATTTTCTCTTTTACCTTATTTGACAAACTTAATCATTTGTATAAGCAACATGTAAATTGGATTTTTTTTCTATGAAAAACACTGATATTTTACAAGTTGAAAATATGTTGAAAACTATTACCAAGGTATATTTTACACACAAGAAGCTACAATATGGTAGCATTAACTAAGACAGCAGATGTATTCTTTATTTGGCCTAATAAATAATTCTTCAGCCAGGTGTATACATTTACAATGCAAAGTTTAACAGGCTTAACATAACAAAACGTATGTCCTCATCCTGTTACATAAACAAATCGTTATTTTACAATAACTATGAAACGACAGCACGTCCGATGTTGGAGTTGAACCCTGGACGCCTTGGTGTAAGGCTAGAGCGCTATCACGGCCCACAACCCATCACTCGTTACTTTACAATAACTATGAAACGACAGCACATCCGATCATGTGAACCCTGGACGCCCTTGTGAAAGGCTAGAGCGCTATCACGGCCCACAACCCATCACTCGTTACTTTACAATAACTATGAAACGAAAGCACGTCCGATCATGTGAACCCTGGACGCCTTGGTGAAAGGCTAGAGCGCTATCACGGCCCACAACCCATCACTCGTTACTTTACAATAACTATGAAACGACAGCACGTCCGATCATGTGAACCCTGGACGCCTTGGTGAAAGGCTAGAGCGCTACCACGGCCCACAACCCATCACTCGTTACTTTACAACCAATCTCATTTTTTTAATTTAAAACACCTAGTACATACAGGCTTGTGTTACATGCCCTCTTACGGTATATACAATGTATGTAGATGTCTGGGACATAAGCTAGCCCTTGTTCGTAGTGGATTCAATTGAGGAGTGGGTCCAGGGAAGGGCCTTGGTAGGGGAACAAGGGGTGCAACAAGCAGTGTCTATGTTTTGTTTTTCTGTTTGAAAATTTGATGGCTTCACCTGTGTACTAGTTGTCTATAGGTAGCTACGCGCCTGGATGTGTAAGTTTTATTTATAGATATTACTGTTATATCAAATTATTAATCATAATAAGGACAGGACTGTATTTCCTTGGGACATTCAGGCCCATACAATATACAGAACACATGTGTCCATAAGCTGTACTCAAAAGTACAGCACATCTAATTACCAGCATCAACACAGGTGTCAACGTAGGTATATTTCTTCAATAATACTTTCAAGGGGTCTACATAGATCCAATGGCCAAAGAAATATACAATATAGGTAATTGTATCAAATTTTTATCAAACAAGTTTTAATTTTCTTATTCATGTAGATTAAAGATTACAATTCTTACAGCAGATGTTTATCATGGAGATAAAACCACTAATTATCACAGGAAATATCAACTGTGACAAACCGTGCCAATGACACTTTCAGGATGAAAAGGACGTCAGACAAAATATTTGATAAGTTTATATATATCTGGTATTGGAAAAAGAGGGCGGAGAAAGGAGTTAAGGAGGGGCAACAGTTTGTATTCACACAGGAAACTGGGATAAGGAAGAGGATTAATGTGCAATTAACACTTTAATGTTGTAGGAAATGTTACTGACATCTACATCCCTCACTTTTAGATCTTTTATAAGTAAACGTGGTCTGTTTTTCTTCTTTTTTCTTTTTTCAAATACACAACAAATCCCTTACTGCCATAATCTCTCTAGTACAGTAGATGACTTAACTCAAATAATAATAGCCACAATCCATGATGAACGTCCACATATCTAGAAATAATCATATCATTTGACCGTCATTCATGGGCAGTCAACCTGACCTCATTTCAGGAGAATAAACAGTGGTGATTTTTTGCCTGACAGAGACAGTCTACCATACAATAGTACTGATGTATCTCCCCATGACTGTGTATAGACAAATAATGACTTTTTAATAGGAAACTTGTCACTACAAAGTAGTACATGTACGTACACTTATGTTTACCCTCCGAGGGCGTTTGAGTGCATGTGGCCGAGAGACCTGTATTGTAAGTACAGTACATGTACATGAACTCTTGCATTGCTGACTGTTTATATATACAGACAGTATGTCATGAGAAAAACTATCAAGTATATGTACATGTCAATTGTCAACTAAACAATATCGTCAATCTTGCAATATAAAATAACCAAATTTCCTCATTTTACATACTTTGGATTATCAAAGAAACAAGTAATGAAGTCCGTTTCAGATTATTAAGTAATAAATTCCCATTATTAAGAAAACAGTTTCTACAAAATACGGATTTGCTTTAAGATGCAACGTTAAAAATTACGCCACTATTTCCTGCATGTTTCACTTTAAAATGAAACAAATCCCAAAAATGACAGGTAAGTGTGCTCTGACACTTTCCTTTGTCGTAAATGCCTAATTTGCTCGGTAATTCTGACACAAGTGTGCAGATTTACAATTAGGAAGTCTTTGTGATTTGAGAGAAGTGGTGCACTATATTTAAATGTCAATTGTCACAATATCATTATAGCAGAAATGTGGAAGTCACAAAGAGCAATATACAAAATAATCGGAGTTGGGTAATAAACGAGCCCTGCACTAATGCTCACCTATACCATTGAGTACAATACCTGTCTGTGTGCTTGTGTACCTGAACCTCCGGTTACCTGTTCAACCAGGTATGATACAATGACAGGTATGTGACAGGGGTCAAGGGTCGGAGGTTACACACCGATTGATGATGTAATTTACGACCAGATACACTAATGGTGCATGACAACCAATCAAGTTCACCCAAATGACAAACTTTTTACAGCGAAACTATGGAACCTGATCTTGGATGTGTCTTCCTGTGTACGAATTAGGTAGACCTTACTGTACCCTCTAAATCACCTGGCCAGTGATCACATCGTAATTATAATAACGGGTTACGTTTGACCTGAAAGTCTACTGACCCCTGAACCAGGATAGGATGTCCAATGGGTAGTGAACCGTGACCGAGAGACTCCCCCACACAGGCCCACACCTATAGGCTAATTGCATCGTTATAATCTGTCAGACCTTTGCCACAGTAGCATGAATGACCATTTGATATGTACACACAACCCACGTACACATTCTTTCTCTATTCATAAAATTTAATGCTAATAAGGCTTGTTAAGTTATAAAATTTCAGACAAAGAATCGCCATGTTTACAGAATAACTTGAAAGTGATATTTGTTGGTTTTTACAAAGCATTCACTGAAATCAATTAGGCCAACAGCTTAATGGTAATTCCCTCCCCAGTGCTGAATGAATGAAATAGAAACATCAGGTTTGCACCAAAACCATCCTGAGTGATGTCATTCTTCAAACTCACTGACGTAAATTTAAAATTCAGATCCGTATCGTTGTCACGAATGAATGTGACAAATGGATGGAATTTCAAGAAAACAAACTTTTTATGAATGAAGATTTAAAACCCTATAGGTATATTGCTTTTGCCATGGAAAATACCAATTATCTGTCAGTTTTACACTTTTATACCACAAACCTCTGTACTTGTCCACTCACTGCCGTCTGTATATTACCAGAATAATATCAGTGTTTCCAAGGTTTACCGTAATTGACAAAGTAAAGGCGCCTGCTGAAATAGCCCCCCCACCCAAAAACCTCAACATCTTACAATTTTTGGAATTCATTCAGTTGGTTTTGTGTGTCAGTTGGTTACATGAGTATACATGTATTTAACAAAAACAAAACTGCCATAGAAATGATCTGCTGAAACAGTGACCATTCCAATCTTTTCGGAAAGATAAATAGATAAAATTATATTTTTATATAGGAGAATCAACAAGGGATCGGGTTAAAGAGAACTTGATGTCTATCTGCAGTCAAAATATCAAAATATGAGGTGGCTTGGTTTGAGGAAATAATTGTCTAAATAAAAGCATTCCGGAATCCCCTTAGCATTTACCAAGTTCAATGCCCTTATTACATCAATTACGGTACATACTGTGCTAGTTAAACAAACTCTACCATCAAACCAATGCTCAAAGATGTTTATTACCTGGAAGTATTATTGGGATGATCACGGTAACTTTAAGAGAGATGTACTACTGCTTTACGTGATATTCTCAGTAAAAACATATTTTATTTTTAATACAGAGCATGACTGGTAGGCGTATATATCATTATCAACAGAAAGATGATACAGGTCACTATTATAAACCAATGTTTTAATCACTTGTGAAATATTTGATTACTGAAACAGAAAGTTCCTGTGCTAATACTGGCTAGTCATATTTCCTGGTATAGCTAGGGTTACCATAAACTGTACATGTCTAAAGACTATTAGGTCTGAGGGCTAGCTACCTCAGGCAATGACTATAGACACTTGTCTATATCCCCCATGTGTTAATGGGTATCTAATTATAAGGCAGTGACCATACACAATCACCTTACAGGGCCAGTGTCTGGGGGGTTATCTAAGGCTAACAGCTGTGGGCTGGCCTACTGGTAGCCTCTCCCTAGAGGGCTTGCTGTAGTGATGAGATAGCTACTCATTGCATGACAATATTAATTAGGTCCGACTGTCCCTCAGTATATATAGTGCACCACACTAAATCACCCTCCCACAATGCTATAGCAACAATCGGTTCCTGGACCAACACAGGCAGAGAATGTCGGAAACATTAACATAGACACACACATATATATATATATATATACAAACATATATTTGTATCACCAAGCAATTGTTCTGGACAAAAGGACAAAGAAATACATTGTGTGGATGATCAAAGTGACATCAGTCCATAGAGATTTACACACATATACACATGTATATGATCCTCATGACCGAATGGTCAAGACCCTTTGTCCATCTGTTACTTGGTCAATGTAATTGTCTATACTCCATATACATGTCTGAAACACAAGTTTTTTTTATAATGAATCTTTCGGTGGACAAATATCCGACTTGTGCACAAACGGGCT